GTGTCACCGTGGGGGGTGGGAGCTTTGAGACCACCAGAGAGTCAGTCTCCCTGCTGCATTTTCAGTACCCAGTGTCATAGCTGGAGGAGCAATTGCAAGGAAAGTCATGTTCTGCCCCCCGGCAACCCCAGGATGGAGCATAATCAGTCCAGTCACACATAGGCAATGTGAAGAGTTAAGCATGCTCAGTTCAGACAGAATACTCAGAGAATTTGGCTTCTAAACTCTGGCATATCTCTGAGTATGCATGAACTGAAATTTTCAGAGGCTCATAACTTATTCACATTTGGGCAGATTTTCATGGAGGGAACAAAAGGCATACCCCTGTCACTATGGCAAATTTCCAGTCATGTAGGTACTAGAATTTTTCAACAAAATAGTTGTAAGAATTTTTTAACATGGCAAAACAATGTATTTTTCCTTAATCTCAGTCTGAGAAGCAGCTGTACAGTTTTTACTGAAATTTTCCAAAACAATTCACTCTGAAGCAACCCTCTGACATGGAAATATGAACTCAAATGGTTAAAGTTTGGCAACTGAAAAGAGGGTCTTCTGCAAAGTTTTGAGCAACCTCAACTATAGGTATTGCTACCTGCACCATCTACGCTTAAATAATCCTAACATACTTAACTGCTCTGAGACTAGAAAAAAATGGTCTTTTTAAAAATCTGAGATTCATGGAAGACTGGGGTATGAGAAGGAAGCTCCCCTGGGTTAATATAATTATAGAGTATTGGAATTAGCTAACAATGTTACTACTCTTTACCCACTGATATCCAGAAGCCCATTTGTATGATATGGGGAAGCCTTTATAGGGCAAGTATTCCTGGAATTGCTAAACTTCAAGTGAGTTTATTATAGCTGTTACTACTATCAATTTCAGCCCAGAAAACTCAGGTCTAAACAAATACAATATTATGGGAGCTGATTTACATACAGAGTAAAGGCAGAAGAGTTCTAATACATGAGATGCATGTATTTAACATTTACAATATCACTCAATAAGAATACCTATATATGTAATAAGGTGTTTCTGTAGCACTGTAAGTGTGTGATGGTTTATAGCTCAGTTAAAAAAAAAAAAAAAAGCAATTCTCCACCAAAAATGTTATGCTTATAAAAACCACACAGGATCTTTTATAAGGGAAAAGGCAATACGTCGCATTTATTGAAGATACAACAATCAGCATATGCATTCAGTTACCACACCCACCCACCCACCAGTTGATGTTATAATTACCAGTCCAGAGTCTGGATCAACCTAGTGGCCAGCTAGGTTGATCACTGGTAGGGAGGAGCTGGGTTCCATTGGTCATGACACAATGCTCCGGGGAAGTCTTGGCAGGACGAACCCAAAGTTTTATGGCAAGGCCCCCTGTTTCTATAGTGATTTTCCTTCATTGGGACCAATGAGTTTTGCACTGTTATGCTGTAATCAATTGTTATTTGACGAGTGCTTGTTTTCTTAAATTGTTCTTTTCATTCTTTATTACAGCTATTTTGTCCCCATTGATAGGTTCCTGTCTCATCTTTAGAGTCGTCCATCTGCCCTCCTCTGACATTTTAATAGGGGCATGTTGCAGTGTCTTGGCCGCCCTTGCATCTGTTTCTGGTTCCTCCCTTGTACATCTGGTTCAGTGATGGCCTTCATACTTATCTTTTAACACACACATTTCTCATTCACACACAAAACAAAATTAATTTACACAGAACATTTTGAACAGGAACATCAAATTGCAATGCAAAAATACCCCAATCATTGCATTCTTTTCCTTATTTTAAAATGCTACATCTACAACAAATTGGTGACCCTTTAAAGTCTGTCACTGCTTTTGAAATCAGCACAGACACAGATTCTGGCTGATGCATCTTTACCAAATGGCCTATTAGGCCGTTCCTTTCTACCATTCAAAAAGGGTGGCTGGCAAAATATAATCAAATCATACACTAATACATTTAATACATGCTACATTATTATCTCTTTATTCTTTATTCTAAATTATATAAAATACAAACATAAAATCCAACTACTACACAAGAAGTATACAATCTGTTAGGGTATGTCTACATGCAGTTAAAACCTGCAGCTGACCCATGCCAGATGACTCAGACTTGGGCTAAGGGGCTGTTTAATTGCAGTGTAGACGTTGGGGCTTGGGCTGGAGCCCAGCCTGTAGGACCCTGAGAGGTGGAAGGGTCCCAGAGCTTGGGCTGCAGCCCGTGCCTGAACCCACAATTAAACAGCCCCTTAGCCCAAACCCACGCCACCTGGCATGGACCAGCCACAGGTATCTAATTGCAGTGTAGACATACCCTTAGAGTACAAAAAGGGACACAAACAAAGGGTGGGAGGGCTTGGGAAAGACAAGCGTTACAAAAGCAAAAGATTGTGTGACCGCCTTCTTACTTTAAGTTAATATGTAGTCATTACAGTATGTAGGAAGCAGTGGTGGAAGGCTAATAAAAAGGATCTTTAAGGAGGGATGCAATTCAGTGTGGGTAGTATTCTTTATTCTGATTGTATATCATTGCAAGACACATAATATGAGTGCCCTATGTAAATAAAGTAGCACCCCGTTTATTTGACCCTCCATTATCTGCCTCTCTGTATTAATAGAAGAGCCAGCGCACGCAGGTCCAGAAGCGGGCAATCTCTCATATGGCCACTAGATGGCACTGCAGCTTCGCACTTTTCCATTCTCCAGTTTATGTGAATTTTTGATTATCCAATCTGGCTCTGGTCCCAATAAGATTGGATAAACTGGGTTCTGCTGTACTCCAAATATTTTATGATTTGCAAATGGCAGTACATAAAACCAGTAAGCTACACTGGTAGGATAAATTGATCTTTTAAGTTTTATATATAGTGCACATCATCTATAACTTAGCCTCTAAGCAATGGCTCCCTGCATTTTACTGGATAGGATCACAACATCTTTTTGAACTTTGATCTTTTTTAAGTTTTATGGTATTCGCCAAATGTAGGGAAAATTTATTCTTGAGCATGTCTGCATGGGGACACTCAGAAAAGTTAAGATGAACTAACTGTAGGTGTGAATTTAAAGAGCATTAAACCCTTGTGTGGGCTTTCTCCTTCAGAAATAAAGTGTCTTTTATTCACCTTAATTTAATCCTTTTAAAGGAGATTAAGCTACTGCTGACTTTTATATATTGCACATGACTGTTTGTGTCAATGCTGTGTGTCTTAGAAATTGACTTAGGCCAAGCTAACTTTGTAATGTAGCCCAAGATTAAGACTTGAATGCTAACAAGGTTTAATTATGACCTTGTATTTATACAAAGCTTATTTTAGTCATTAATGGCATTTTCAAAGAGTAAGACAATTCACAGTAACAGAACCTGAACACACACCTGAAGTCACACCGGATGGCATTGACCCATTGTTATGATACAAGTTGAGCAATGAAAGCCTGTCATTTGAAGTGAGCTGTAGCTCACGAAAGCTCATGCTCAAATAAATTGGTTAGTCTCTAAGGTGCCACAAGTACTCCTTTTCTTTTTACATTTTCTGAGTGTTTCAACAGAGGCCTTCAGCCCTGGATCTAGGGTGACGAAATATCCTGATTTTATAGGGACAGTCCTGATATTCAGGGCTTTTTCTGTTACTCCCCCATTCCCTGTCCCGATTTTTCATATTTGCTGTCTGGTCACCCTATAGATGCCATGAACAACGATACATTTTAACAGTGCAGGACAGGCTACTTCAAAGCACTGTACTGACATCCATTTTGCATTGCATATAATATTAAATAATGTAAAATTTTCTCACTGGGTGCAGTACTTAGCTGCATAGAGGGGAAACACTAGGATTCTTTTAAATATGTCTGTGTGGTTTTGGTGCAGGATTAATTCCCAAGATGCACAGAGAGTGGGCCTTGGGAATCTCCAGCGAATTTTGTGTACTTTCCCAGACTGACTGCTAGGTGGTACTATTGTGTAATGCAATAAATATTCCGCTGCCATTTCCCATAAGATGGCAGGTTAAACAGGACCAGTCACCAGTGCCTGTTTATTTTAATTTTCTTAAAAAACTGAATTCAGGGCTGGCTAAAGGTGTCATATAATAACATCTTTTCAAAGTGATGTCCAGAGAACAGCTATAGTGTAGACCATAGCAGTGCAGGTTTCCCTACATCACTCACTGCCCTAGAGTGACCACTTTTAGGCATGACAGAGTAGTTCAGTCTCCATGGCTATTAAATTTTGTTCCCTTGCCATGAGATTGCCAGTAAGGGTATCAATTGTGATGGAGATTCTTGTGGTGTGATCACCTGGTCAAGTCGGAAATGGACTGCGACCCAAAAACTCATGGCACATAGGACAGACAGCCATCAGGTGATAGTTTACAGGTAATCGGTCATACAGGTCACCATCCACCTCCAAAACACCTTTTAACAGAAATACATAATAACCAAACTAACAATTTTTGATAAAATAAGAATATTTTTTAACATTCAAGATTTACAACAAAATAAAGCAAATAATTTAAAAAACATTGTCAATTTGTATTTTAGGAAGAATTTTTAAAAAAAGAAACCTAAATTCAGTAACTGTTAGAAGATGATTTTAAGCCCTTAAATTCATATAGCCAGATCTAATACTATATACAAAACTCAATATTATCTCAAACATTCCCATCTGTATTCCAGATCCAGTCCCAGAATGACACTGTTGAGGGTGTTTCCTGCTTCCCATCACTCCATGCTTATTAAAACTCAAGTCGACAGTATTTTTAAATATCCATTTAAGGTGCTCAGGTACTATGGTGCTGGAAGCCATACAAGTATCTATATACACAGGAAAATCTCTCAACATGATTCTATTTTAATATGGTACATATCAGCCTTCCAGATATAAGGCCTCACTGATGCCATTTAATAAAGAAAGAGCAGCCCCAAAATCTCCAAGAAATTTTGTAAAAGGAATTAACTTCTTTACTTAACAAAAAACTCACGCTCCACCACAAAACAAAAGAAATATTATATCCTTCCCATGTTTCTAGTATTCCGTTTAATAGTTTTGCTAGGATTTCACAGTTTCTTGGTGATAAAAATAATTTCACAATATAGTATATAAAAATACAGTAGTATGAAGTCATCACATCAACTTTCTTATGGTCATTTTCTGGACCAGGGCTAAAACAGTTACTTTTCATACCATGATCTCATGTTCAGCTCCTAATGGACCTCTTCAAATGTGCCTCAGCATCCTTTGCACTGATTCCCACAGCACTTCTTGTGGTGTACTTCTGGCATATGAAGAGGATCGGTTGCAGAGTCCAATTTAGTGAAATGCTGGAGCCAGGGAATGGAACAAAGGCTCAGTGAAATCTCCAGAGAGCTGATAGCAATGTCTCTGTTGCTGGAAGCTACAGATATGGAATGCCTGTTCTAGGCAAACATTCTGTTAAAGCAGAGAGAAATCCAGCTGCTTGTGCCGTAACCTGATGGACTACAGAATGAGAACATCACTGAAAGAAAAACAGATGGTTCTCTGAAGACGTCCACGCAGTATGCAGCAGCAGTCAAAAAAGCAAACGGGATGTTAGGAATCATTAAAAAAGGGATAGAGAATACAACGGAGAATATCTTATTGCCCTTATATAAATCCATGGTATGCCCACATCTTGAATACTGCATAAAGATGTGGTCCCCTCATCTCAAAAAAGATATACTGGCATTAGAAAAGGTTCAGAAAAGGGCAACTAAAATGATGAGGGGTTTGGAACAGGTCCCATATGAGGAGAGATTAAAGAGGCTAGGACTTTCAGCTTGGAAAAGAGGAGACTAAGGGGGGATATGATAGAGGTATATAAAATCATGAGTGGTGTGGAGAAAGTGAATAAGGAAAAGTTATTTACTTGTTCCCATAATATAAGAACTAGGGGCCACCAAATGAAAATAATGGGTAGAAGGTTTAAAACAAATAAAAGGAAGTTCTTCTTCACTCAGCGCACAGTCAACCTGTGGAACTCCTGGCATGAGGAGGTTGTGAAGGCTAGGACTATAACAGGGTTTAAAAGAGAACTGGATAAATTCATGGAGGTTAAGTCCATTAATGGCTGTTAGCCAGGATGAATAAGGAATGGTGTCCCTCGCCTCTGTTTGTCAGAGGGTGGAGATGGATGGCAGGAGAGAGATCACTAGATCATTACCTGTTAGGTTCACTCCCTCTGGGGCACCTAGCATTGGCCACTGTTGGTAGACAGGATGCTGGGCTGGATGGACCTTTGGTCTGACCCAGTATGGCCGTTCTTATGTTCAGGGACTGTAGCCTGTTTCTGGATGGTTTAGCCACTTAGGAGTACATTTTCAAAGTGTTGTGGGTGGCATTTTAGGATCAACATAAATAGGAGTCATGTGATTAGACCTCATACTACAAGAATCTCTCTACAGTGGTTACTCTTCCCCTCCACTGCACGCCACTCAATCCCCCTTTAGCTGAATGGAGGTTGATTCAGGGCAATCATTTCTTCCATCTCTTTGGTGCCCTGTTCTTGTTCAAAAGAGGAGATGTAATAGTGCCTTTGAAACATCAAATAATCCTCAGCATCTCTATGAGGTAGGTATATATTGTAATATTCCCATTTTACAAGGGTAAATTGGAGGAAAGGATAAGCAAGTTGCCTAAAGCCACACAGCAAATCAGTACTTAGAACTCAATTGCTCCTCAGTCCCTGATCTGTACTCAGACTGTAGACCATACCACTCTGATTATAACAAATAACAGAGGAACATGTAACTTTCTAAACACAGTGTTATACTCCAGAGACATTGAGAAATCACACTGTAGGCAGACAATGGATAACTGCAAACTCAAAAGCAGTATGACAGCTTTGCTTTTTTAAGAGATTTCTACTGTTGAGTCAAAGGCATCTTCTCCTTTTATGAAAGTGAGAAGAGATGTGTAGAAGACTTGGACAGCAGCAGTGGATCTAATCAGTGTAAATTTTTTACCCAGTATTTTCCTTTCCGCCTTGCCCGATAGCATAAATTAATTTTATTAAATCGGATTTTTACCAAATCTCTGCTGGATGTGTTTTTCATGATAAACAAGGTCAAGTGTTTTCCATCCCCTACCAATATGTTCTAAAATTACTTTATATTTACATATAATTCTCCAGCATCAGTAAATTATTCAAAAAGATGAGGAATACATTTTGGCTTATCTTGCAGTTTATGGAACTACATTTTAAAAAAATGTTATTTTTTCTACCATCTATTGGTCATGTCATGATCAGACTCTGAACTACAGCAGATTAGACTTTCCAATGCTACTCTCCCAGGATCCTTTATAAATTAGGAGTTACTTCTGACCTCATCATATTTCTTTGGCATCCATGATAACTTTACATTTTTTATATCACTATTTTTGCCAATTTTGTAATCCCAGCAGTATTCCGGAGATAACAGTTTAGTAGGCTTGTTTATAAAATAATATTTGTTTAAGTGGCTTTCATCATGCCATATTGCTTCAGTGTTCCTTTCTTTGTCTTTTTTAATGCCTTCATAACATTCCCTGGTAAGGTTGAAAACACGAAGAGGAGTACCTCCAAAGACAGCAGCATGATAATAATAGTCCCCCTGCATCAACGGAATATAAGCTGTTGACTGGGGATTTCTCTCATAAGTGAATTTCTCTTTATCTGCCTTGTAAAACCAAGCTTGGAGCTGTGCTACAGACTCATCAAGCGTCTCCAAACCATAGTCACTCTGGAAAACTTGATCCACGTCCATACAAAACAAAGTCTACTTCATACTTGATGTGGCTTTCAATAAGGTCCCCTATGGTCTTAGTGCATCATACTTATATCTTCCCATCGGCTTTCTTTATTAACTTGGAATACTTTAGATGTCCGCAGGGGTCCCAGTTCTATCAAAGGCATTTTCGAGAGATCATCCACCATAACGTAGAAAATCACTTTATGGCCAACCATGAAGAAACTGTCTGCAGATATTAAGAAGGTTTTTAAATACTTATCGAGATACCTAGAAAAAAATGGGAAAATCATTAACTTTCTTTATCTACAGTTGGGGAATAAACTAGAGTCAGTAGGCCACATTCATGTTAATGTAATCCTGTTTCAACAGTATTCCCTTAGAGCAGTGGTTCTCAAACTTTAGCAACTCAAGGATCCCCATTTTGATTTAAAATTTTGCTGCAGACCCCCAAACCCCCCACTCCACCCCTTCCCCCAAGGCCCCAGCCCTGCCCCATCTCTTCCCGCCCCTGCTCCGCCCCTCCTCTTCCCTGCCTCTTTACACACCCTTCCCCGCCCTCCGAGCTTTTCCTGCATGCTGGGAAACAGTTGTTTCCCAGCTTGCAGGAGATGCTGGGAGGAAGTGGAAGGAGTTGATCAGCGTGGCCTGCGGACCCCCTGGAATACCCTCGTGGACTCCAGTTTGAGAAACGCTGCACTTGGGAACTTTTAGTGCATGCCAGCAGGGTCCGCCTGGGCCAGGTTAGTGCATAACACAGTAGTGTACACTAGAATTTACACCCCTCTGGTGCAGACTAATGCACCATGTTGACAATCCTTCAATTTCTAGAAATTATTTTTCAGAGTATTAAGCATTATGTAGCACTTCATACGTTCAAAGCACAGCTTCCATTGACCTCATTTACAGATGTGAGTGCTCAGCACTTCTGCAAGTCAGACCCCAGCATCTCAAGACAGGCACCCAGAAAATGAGGACCCAACTGAGGCAAGTTGGGTTTAAGAGAGTTGCATCACACAAACTCTGTGGTAAAGGCAGAGATAGAATCTAATTCTCCCAGGCCCCATTCAACTGCCTTAACCATGAAACTGTTCTTTCTCTTCCTGCAATACCCTGCCACATTCTCTCCATATCTTCCAACTAATTAGATTGTTGTCTGTAGGCCCCCTACCTCCTTTACTAAACAATCCTGGTTCTTCCCTTGAGCAGATCCATCCTGTGCATTGAATGGAGTAGGGGTCCTAGCATTTCTTAACTACTGAGTCCCTGATTTGCAACCTTAAGAATGTTCTTTTCATATAGGTTGTGTGTGTAATTTCCTAGGTATTTAAAAAAACAAATTGAAAAAACAAATTCCATCATGGGGCATCATATTCACACGCTCATGTTTGATCATTAGAACTGGAACCTTTAGATCCACCACACAGAACTCTGCTACTTGGTCTAACAGAGTGACTGATGGTAGTAGGTCGTCATCCTCTATGTGGACCAGCACTAGGAGGGGGATGAGACATATTTTTGCCAGTGGTTTTCACAGATATTTGCTGACAGCAGAAGAACACTGAGAATCACGGGTTCCATTCCAGGCTTTAGTGGGCATAGACTCTTCTGCCCATTTGCCCCAAAGCTTAACCTCTTCTGTTTCATGCTCTTCTGTCTCAGTCCTGTCTCTTCATTAGCTGGTCCCAGTCTCTGCTCCTCAGGCTTCTTATCCCAGTCCCCTTGCGCAGCCAGCTCCCCTCCCACCCCCTACTGATGTTCCCATTTCTCATCTCAAAGTCCCAATCTCAGTGTCCACTCAACTCCCATCAGCTCCTTGGCCCCATCTTTTTGACCAACCAGTCCCAATTCTCCCCCACACACACTGGCTCACCATTAGATTTATTACCCTCACTTCTACCCCACTGGTTCCCAGTCCTACTCTTTGCCCAGCCAGTCCAAGTATCTCCCACCAGTTCCTCATCCAATCTCAGTCATTTGCCCCCCAATTTCCTCCCTTGGCTTCCAGCCTCCTCCAAACTCTCAGATTCTTTTTCTCTCCCCCGCCTCCCCGCCCTGCAACTACCTCAAGTTGCTTGTCCAATTTACCCCCCCATCTGGCTCTTTTCAGAGCCAGAGAGTATTTTAATGAGGCAACTTCCTCCTTCTCAGTGCCTGGAGCGCCAGCTGCGGGACCACTGAGAACACAGGAGACAGTTTCCCTGCTTTCATTTCAAGTACCAGACCCAGCTTGGCCTGCAGCTCATCAGCCACCTATAGCCCTGGTCTGCAGCATGCTCAATGTGACCAAATCTTCAGATTTTAGCTGTAAAGCTCTAGCAAATCTCTACTTAGCATGTGCGAACTGCAGTTTTTCTAAGGTTGATAACTTGTCCAAATTTGGGTAGATTTTCATGGATTAGCAAAAGGCACATCGATGACACAATGGCTATCTCCTGCCAAATTTCAAGTTCCTCCAAACCATGGAAGTGCAAGACGTTCTCAAAGAAAAGGACACCACATTTTTTTAACATGGGCAAAACAACATTTTTACAAAGCTTAATTCCTGGAAACAGCTGAAACATTTTGGACAAAATTTCCAGCTAGCATGGAAAATTGCAGCCCAAACAGTTTAAATTTAGTAAAGTTATGTGGTGCTAAAAACAGTGTTTTATAATGGGAAATGTTGGGCAATTTTATTAATTGGTGGTGTTACCAGTTCCACCTATAATGTCAAACTGTTAACTTATAACTTAATTATTAATGTTAGGGTAGTTAGTGAAGTAAAGTAAAGTTGCATCATCATTCTACTTTATTCTTATTAAACTGTAAAAATTACTATAGTTTTAGTTAAAAGAAAAGGAGTACTTGTGGCACCTTAGAGACTAACCAATTTATTTGAGCATGAGCTTTCGTGAGCTACAGCTCACTTCATCAGATGCATACCGTGGAAACTGCAGCAGACTTTATATATACACAGAGAATATGAAACAATACCTCCTCCCACCCCACTATTATTACCAGCAGGACAGTGGGGTGGGAGGAGGTATTGTTTCATATTCTCTGTGTATATATAAAGTCTGCTGCAGTTTCCACGGTATGCATCTGATGAAGTGAGCTGTAGCTCACGAAAGCTCATGCTCAAATAAATTGGTTAGTCTCTAAGGTGCCACAAGTACTCCTTTTCTTTTTGCGAATACAGACTAACACGGCTGTTACTCTGAAACCTATAGTTTTAGTTGCTCCTCTTTGGGCCTGTTCTGCTCCTATTCATACCAGTTGGAACAGAATAAAGCCCTTTATTTTAAAATGTATCTATAAATGTGTGTAGCTCCAGAAAGGTTCTCAGGAACCATATGTCTTTGACCTTTGTTTTCTGGGATAGAGTGGCTCATTGGAACAACAGTATAGATTACTGGAACACAAGACTCCCTGCTTTCATGCCTCATAATTTCCAAGAACAAACAACTGTTTTTAAGGCAGCAAACCTGCCATGTTAAAATGCAAGTATCAAAAGAAACTGCCAGCATCTGCAGCCATCTCCATTTGAATCCAGACAGCATCCCTGAACTTTAAAAAGCTCTTGCAAAACCTTTTTAAATGGAACATGTTGACTTTATACTTCTGTATATTCAGAAAACCACTTCTGCCATTGATCAAAAATGTTAATGTCTTGGCTTGTAGCTGAAAAATACGGACAGAAAAGTGACTTAGTCTGAATTTACAGCAGGTGGGGGATAAAATGATTGCAGTCTTCAGATCTTGTTAACGAGCTTGAATTATCTGCTTAATGTTCAAACAGATTCCTTGGAAACCACCAGAGAGGGTAATAATAAAAGAATTTCCATGCCAGAAATTCCTCACTAGATGGAGTGGGAACATTTTAGGAAGAATTGGCTACTGGAAGTTTAGTTTGTGACTGCAATAAGTTTCTAACAACTCAACAGGATTTTTTCCTCCCTTAATTATACACTTGATAAGTGGGACAATTTGGGAAATCTGTCTGTACTCGTGATTTCTGGTTGATATTATGAAGGTGTTACTATGAAAATTGCTGTATCACTGAAAGCCTCTATATAAATGTGGAATCCACCATAGACTGGCAGGGTCATGTCATGTCTCTGCCAAAGCAAGGACAATGGTAGGGCCATCAGCTATTCAAGGGGAAACACCTTGGGGACAATGAGCTTGCTAGTCTGGAGAGTGGAAATTCTCCAAGCAGGACAAAAAGAGGTGACAAAGTGGGCGGTTATTAAAAGGACTCAAGGGGGACGACTCAGAGCCACACAGGAAATTTTGGACAGGAGAAGAGGAGGAGATGGACCAAAGTCACAGAAGATGAGCTAGGGCAGTGGTTCTCAAAACTTTTGTACTGGTGACCCCTTTCACATAGCAAGCCTCTGTGTGCGACCCCCCCTCCCTTTTAAACTAAAAACACTTCTTTACATATTTAACACCATTATAAATGCTGGAGGCAAAGTCGGGTTTGGGGTGGAGGCTGACAGCTCGCAACCCGCCTTGTAATAACCTCACAACCCCCTGAGAGGTCCCAACCCCCAGTTTGAGAACCCCAAGGTTAGGGGGAAGAGGCTCCCTGTCTTGGAACAGAAGTTATGAAGCTGCCAAGGAAGGATCTTGGATCTCAGAGAGGACCCTGACACAAGCCCAAAGAATGCTCTGGATTAGTGAGGAAACTGAGGCAGGAAATGCATATAATGCTTATTATTTTTGTATAGATGTCTATTTCTTTTACTATTAAAGAGCAATAGCACGTTAGAATGTTGTGCAAAGTGTCTTATGTTTCACGTTATACCTATCACATTGCTCTTGAAGTTATAAATGGTAAATCAGAAGATTCACATGGTGGAGTTCTGGGAGAGGGCGTGTTTAAGAGATTGCAGGGGCAGTCTGAGGGCTCAGCACTGGTTCCAGGGAGTGACCAGGTCTTTTGTTGCACTGCCTCCTGAGAGCTGCACCCCAAAAATGTGCTCAGAGACCCTAAGACAGGGGCATAGCCGTGGCTCCATTAAGACTCTGAGGGCTTAAAACATGAGATTCAGCAGCTGGATCCCCTTACAGCTGTTTGACAAGAGGCCAAAAGTGGGTGCTGGACTATACCTGTAACAATAAGAAACAGAAGAAAGCCAAGAGAGGTTTTAATTTTTTCCCTGGAAAAGTGAGAATAGATTTTGGTTAACAAATTTACATAATTTTTCTGTTCTTATCTGCTTTAAAAATTGTTAAATAGAAGCAGCCAAGGGGCTGAATTTTAGCATGTTCAGAAGATAACT